AATAATAGAATAGTAATTTAGTAGCAAACTAATAATAATAGAATTTAACAATAATTCAATGGCAGAATAATAATAATAACAATAGTAATAATTCAACAGCAGAATAATGATAGCAGAAATTTTGGAGACATTGATTTTAGGGAGGCGTCCGGACACTCACTTCGCTAGCAATTTTCAGTACACCGCCCTCGCTGTGCGCGTGCAAGCCCATTATAAACGGCACCGGCGCGTCCAAGAAGTGATGTAGACTGGCAGGCAATATCGGCACGTAGACATGTTGCCAGGAAAAGGGGTACAAGAGCGCCGTTATGCACTCGGACACCACCATCAATTTGTGGAAATCCGAACTTCGGAGCAACACTTGATTCTCCAGTAGGACACACGTGAACAATTGGATCACACAGTCAGCGCCGAGCCACGTGAACATGTCCTTCAATGGGTAATCAAGCATCGGTAGCTCCTGCGATGGCATTGGCTGATGGATAACCAGCTCCAGCGGCGATTTCGCTGGCTCGTCGTTCGGTATGAAGAACTTCAACGACTTTCCAGGCAATGGTACCGGCACGTTGTACAGCAAATTGTATACGTACGACTCTAAGCTGAGGCCAGGTCCTGGATGTCTAGGAACACATCTACAACGAGACGAGGAGAAATATTCCGACATAGATACATAGACATAGATTTTCCAGATTATCCCCCTCTACAAGATTTCTTGTAGAGCACGAACCTTTTTCTCGTGTCATCTATCAGGAATTTATTTACGAAGCATCGTTTTTATAAAATAAAATAATTTTAATTTATTAATTTAATTAAATTATTAATTTATTAAAATAATTTTATTAATAATTTTAAATAAAATTACATAGCATTGGAGATGATCGTTCAAATGGCACCCGACACGAAATTTTCTTCATTATTCATAATTGTTTCTAACACGTGACATCGTTTAAATTTAAAGCAAATCATCAACAAGTATAATATATGCAAGAGTCAATGACACGTAGTTTCAATCTCTGGAAATCTCCAGTTTTTTTAAACTTTTTTCGTAAGAACGTGAGAGAAACAAATGGGAAGCCTAGTTTACGTTAAATTATTGAGTCAGGAATCAATGGTCTTCAAAAAGATCATTTTCCATAATTATCAGCTAGATTCCCACTCGAGAAGGGACAGTCGGGTGCGAAGGATTAACAAAAATTCCATTTGTAACGAAATCCGTGATCGTGAAATGTGTATTATAACGAATCGTTGGAAATTTTTGAAAAGATTTCCGGGGGAAGTTTAATTTATCGTTATCGCCTGGCTTCTGACTAATGGTCCTCCTCTCCGTAAGACGAACGTTGTTTATTAACGATGTTGCAACGTTATCAAACTAGACAGAGGCGATGTGAGATAAAGCTTGGACGTGTATATATATATATATATATACTTACTTGTAGAGATTAATGAGGAACGTTTTCGCGGCATAGAGGTAAGGCTGCTGGCATAGCAAGGATATTGATTTAGTCACTAGCAACTTGTCTTTGGTTGAGTCGTAGTAGCCTAACGCAGCACCTGGTGAGTGTGCTGATAGCTTGAAATGCCGTGGCAACGATCGCGTGTTATGTCCATCCTGGCCTTTTCTCGCTCTGCAATTTATATACATTTCACCATAAAACCTTCCTCCACTCCTCTCTCGTGCTTCGTTTAATTATTATTATTAACAATCGCAGGATTATATTCGAAGGACTGTGTAATAAAATAAAAAGAAAAAAATATGGAATGGAAGCTCTTGGAAGCGTGTCCAATCGCGAGATTCTATCGTTCGTTCCTTTTTTTTTCTATCGTGTCAAGATGTTGAAGAGTTGCGGGATTATCTGTGAA